AAAAATTATATATAACTATAATGATAATAATAGAATTCAACCAAACTGTTGTAACCTCAGAAAGGTTACTGAATAGAATAATTACATGAAAGTTGGTAATGAATGATAATACTTAGGACAAGAACAACACATAAGATTCGCCAGCAGTGTGTAGAAGAAGTAGTCAACTGCTAGATGTGAGTCAAGTGAATTCCACAATGAATCTCCAACTGCAATATATCTACTAACCAGCCCACACGGTCAAATGTGGCACAAGGTCGAATTTAATGTGGGGTATCCTAGCCTGTAGGCCTGGCCAAAAATTCCCAGTAGACCCCATATAAAACAGGGTCGGGTAGCTGTTTCCCGAGATAAGACTCGGCCCTTTGACATAGCCTCATCTGGGGATCCTCTCTACCTAGAGGCAGAGAGTTTGACCAGCACAGCTGGAGACAAAATCTCCAACTGCAGACTAACATACAGTATTTACTACTGTATTTATGTGAATGGGGGCATACCTATTATCGTCCATAGGTATGCTACAACACAAACATACCCATATACCTATCCTCACTACACCCTCAAAATTTCTGAATATGCATAATTCTTCTCAACAATAAAATTTATTCTAAAATTAATTATGTATATTTAATCTACAGATAACACACGCTGATACTATTAACAACTGCAAGCCCAACTAGAAATTTGATATACATCTACACTTTCCCATTTTTTCTGATTACCACTTCAGGAATTAAACCCACATGTAGATACTACTAGATATGCACAAAAAAAAAAAAAATGGCCACTAGCATTTGGACACATTAATGCACAAGATATAAACATGTGAAATCTACTTGACCAATAAAAACAAACAACACAGAATTCAAAATACTGTCACATTCTCTTCCATCACTCATTTCCAAACATTTCTGATGAAGCGAATTAACAGTGAAACATGTCAACCATATGATGATAAACTACATCCACATCCTGGGTAAGACAATAAACTATATCCGACAGCAAGGCCTCTGATCAGGAGGTTTTGAGGAGAATGGAACCATCTCTTATTTGCTAGCGTTCCTAGGTTCACCCTGACTTTGGGTTGTAGCACCTGTTGGGTTCCCAGTTATGGGCAAATAGTTAACCCCCCCAAATGGGGTCAAAATACTATAAAAGTGTAATAATAGGTTTTAATATCAGCTGTACATTTAAAAAAAAAAAAATATTACCAGCAATATATTTTTGAAAGAAAAAAATATTGCCAGCAATAAAAATTTTATTAGGATTAAATAATCCATTGAGGTTGATATGCCATAAAACAAAACAAACGTCAAATTTATAATTTTTTTCCTATTTGTTTCTTACATAATCCTTCTGTTGGATTTAATTCATATTTTTGAATTCATAAACTCATATCTCTGAAAAAAGTTTTCTGAACTTCTAGCCAGAAATGTCAGAACATAGCAAAGCAATTTATTGACAGCAAAAATGGACAAAAATAAAACATTCTGGAATAGAAAAGTATATACTGCAACATATTTACACTATTTACATTTTTCAGACTGTTGTCCTCATCTTTTTTGCCATATTCACAATGTTTTGGCCATTGTACACTCCAGCCTTCTTCAAGTGATTGGACTCATGGCCTAGTGGATAAAAGCATTGGTGGGATCCAGTGACTTGACCCAAAGAGTTGTGAGTTCAATACCTGGCTACTGCAGTGGTGAACAAAAACTTGGAGAGTTGAGTGAAAGGAAAATAACTGAGACATCTGGAAGAGGCATGGCATGTGGAACCTGAACAATCTACTCTGGTTGACAAAATAAAGGGTTCATTTCAAAATTACAATCACCTGAAGAAGGCTGAAACGTCACGAATATGGTAAAAAAAGATGAAGACAACAGTCCAAAGAATGTAAAAAGTGTAAATAATTACAATACTTTATCACAGAAATATAAACAGAATTATAAGCAAAGTAGCGTGACAATTCTTTGGTGACAATTGATGGTAATTGGAAAACTAATGAGCCATATCTTAAGGTAAAAACAACCTATAAGTGGAAGGGAAAAAGAAGTTATCCTGCCACATCTAATAAATTTGCATAATAGAGCAATAGAAGGTGTTACCTAAAAAACAAAACTGTAGAATCATATTGTCTGAATACATATGGATAAACAAAGAAGTGATATTGACCATTTTTTTTTCTGTCAACCTTATCAATGTATCCATGGTTGCACAGTAGAGGATACATTACAAAATAAATCCAAACAAATCTCATTTGGAATTTTGCAGCCGGATAGCATTTTACTTACTCAAAGTTCAGGTCTAACGCAAAAGGACATCTGACGTTTCTGCACTGCCAGCAGCTGTATGTTATAATGGCATAAAACATTTGTTGCGGGGCCTGGTGATGCATTGGCCTTGTCTGCATGTTATTTTATATATATATATATATATATTTCTGGTTGGAAAGGTCACCCCTCAACCGCAATAAGATTGTAATATTATAAACAAAATTATTCATGAGGTACAATGAAATACAATTCAGAAACAGATTTTGTTTTATTGGCACAGAAAAAATGGTAAATTGATTTATTATACATTTCAGTATGTCAAGTAATATGAAATAAGTAACATTGAAGGCAGAGATAATTTGTTATACTGCTGAAACATTTTTAAGTTTTTCTTTACAATGATGAATTCAGTGTTTCATTAGTATTTTTTTTTTACTGTACATTCAATAGGAGTCTTTCTTTTATATCTTAGTAATACATTTCAAAGAAATTATTGTATCATTCAATGAACATACATGTATATAATTTTGGTAAGGACAGAAATAAAGAAATGTTTGCTTATCTGTAGCTGGCAACATATTTTATCAGAGATTGTTTTAAAAGTCTGCTTTCTTAGCTAGTTGAAGTCAAAAGAGAAGAAAGTTTTGATCTTTATTTCTTTTCATGATAAAACGTTTGTTCTAATGTATCATGGGAATAGCTTATATTATATTTAACTATTTTTTTATAATCTAACTTTTTCTGTCATTCTTGTTAACTACAATTCTTATATTGTATTTTAAAGTATTTTTATTAATTTTTCTTTTATTATTAATTATTCTGGCTCCAGACTACTATATGGACTACTAGTAGATTTTGGGGGTTATTTAGTAATTTATTTATTGCTACCACTACACATTTTTATTAGGGTCAACAACATAAGCTTCATGGAAATTATACAAGAAAAATACAAAGAATGATCTATGAAAAAGTGTCATTTTAATAATAAAAATGGAAGACATTTCAATGGAAAAAAATTAGTAGAATACTTGAATATAGTATAAAATAAGTTACTTAGTAACTATTTTTGTTTAATTTTAAGCTTTCTTCCTGAGTTGCTTAAGATTTAATCAAATTTGAGTAAAATTATTTTATTAAAAAAAATTTCATATAATAAGTAAGTTTATTTTAAATTCAATCATCAATGGAAAGAATAACTTATTTTGAAATAATCAATAATAGAAAGAATAACTTTGAAATATTCTGTCAATAGAAGGAATAACTTTGAAATGTTCTATCATCAATAGGAGGAATAAATTACTTTGAAATATTCTATCATCAATAGAAGGAATAACTTACTTTGAAATATTCTATCATCAATAGAAGGAATAACTTACTTTGAAATATTCTAACATTGATAGAAGGAATAACTTACTTTGAAATATTCTAACATTGATAGAAGGAATAACTTACTTTGAAATATTCTAACATTGATAGAAGGAATAACTTACTTTGAAATATTCTATCATCAACAGAAGGAATAACTTTGAAACATTCTAACACTGATAGAAGGAATAACTTACTTTGAAATATTCTAACATCAATAGAAGGAATTTTAACATCTAAATCAATAGAAGGAATAAACTTTGAAATATTCTAACATCAATAGAACAATAACTTACACTTTGAAATATTCTATCATCAATAGAAGGAATAACTTACTTTGAAAATTCTATCATCAATAGAAGGACTTTTGAAATATTCTATCATCAATAGAAGGAATGAAACTTTGAAATATTCAAAAAAGAGGATAACAAGTAATTTTTAGAAATATTTTCTCATTAGATGAGTATTATGTATAATTTATTTTAAAATAATATCTCTATATCTATACTTGTAAGAGAATTTTTACTTTTGTCACAAAAAATCATTTTATTCTTTAATTTGAAATATTTCAGAAATCAAGAAATTATAATGGATCTTATTTATTAAAGACATTTTTATTTATGTTTAACGTTGTTATTTTATAGATACAAGTATTTGAAATGTTTTCAAAAGAGGATAACAAGTAATTTTTAGACAAATATTTTCTCATCAGTAGATGAGTATTATGTATAATTTATTTTAAAATAATATTTTTCTTCTATACTCCTATACTTGTAAGAGAATTTTACTTTTAGTCACAAAAATCATTTTATTCTTTAATTTAATTTTGAAAGTAAATGTTCAGAAATGTTCATGAAATTATAATGGATCTTCTCAAAATTACAGATAATATCTTTAAACACCTGTGGAAAGCCAGAGAAAGAACCGGTCGAAACATAGTAAAAACAGAATCAGAAAAAGAAAAAATCCTAAAATGTGTTGGAATTATAAATTATTCCATAATAACATAAATCATTACAAATATATTTGTAAGTTTAGCTTAATTATAATATTACAACTTTGACCCACCTTCAATACCTGCCACATGTGAAGAAAAACTCTTGATTTGTGAGATTCAGGGATACTTACCTGCAAAGATAAAAAATACATAAATTAATCAAGGTAAAAATGTAAAATGCAACATAAAATATTTTAATAATATCTTAGCATATACTCCACCTAGTTTACAGACTGAGGGAACAAAAATCTTGTTAAACAAATTATGGCTACAGAAACACAAGATATTAACTCTTTCCAATAATAATTTTGCGTCTTTGTAGGTAGAATATAAAGTCATTCAAGTGTAATAAAAAATTATATTTATTTGTGAAGACTATAAGAATGTTGCTGTTGGAAAAGAGAACTGTAGAAAAAAGAGAAGGGAAAAAGAAAAAGAGAAAAAAAGAGAGGGTGGAAACAGTAGAATGAGGGAGTAATAAGGGAGAGAGAGGGCAGAAAGGGAAAGATAAAGAAAACAGAGTGGGTGAAAAAGGCAGACTGAAGAAAAAAGAATGAATAAAGAGGGTAGAATGAATAAAAAGGAGAGAGAGGGGGGCAAAATGAATAAAAGGGAGAGAGAGGGGGCAAAATGAATAAAAGGGAGAGAGGGGCAAAATGAATAAAAAAGAGAGAGAGAGAGAGAGAGGGCAGAATGAATAAAAGGGAGAGACAGAGGGTAGAATGAGTAAAAGGGTGAGAGAGGGGAGAATGAATAAAAGGGTGAGAGAGGGTAGAATGAATATAAGGGAGAGAGAGGGCAGAATGAATAAAAAGGTGAGAGAGAGGGCAGAATGAATAAATGGGTGAGAGAGAGGGCAGAATGAATAAAAGGGTGAGAGAGAGGGCAGAATGAATAAAAGGGTGAGAGAGAGAGAGAGAGAGGGCAGAATGAATAAAAGGGGGAGAGAGAGAGAGAGGGCAGAATGAATAAAAGTTGGAGAGAGAGAGGGCAGAATGAATACAAGGGAGAGAGATAGAGGGCAGAATGAATAAAAGTGAGAGAGAGGGTAGAATGAGTAAAAAGGAGAGAGAGGGTAGAATGAGTAAAAAGGAGAGAGAGAGGGCAGAATGAATAAAAGGGAGAGAGAGGGCAGAATGAATAAAATGGAGAGAGAGGGCAGAATGAATAAAATGGAGAGAGAGGGCAGAATGAATAAAAAATGGAGAGAGAGGGTAGAATGAATAAAAGGGTGAGAGAGAGGGTAGAATGAATAAAAGGGAGAGAGAGGGTAGAATGAATAAAAAGGAGAGAGAGGGTAGAATGAATAAAAAGGAGAGAGAGAGCAGAATGAATAAAAAGGAGAGAGAGAGAGAGGGCAGAATGAATAAAAAGGAGAGAGAGAGAAAGGGCAGAATGGAATAAAAAGGAGAGAGAGAGGGCAGAATGGAATAAAAAGAGAAGGCAGAAAAGGTGGAATAAAGAAAAAAGTAGGGTGGAATGAAAGGAAAAGAGAGGGTAAGATGATGAAAAAGGACAAAATAAAGGAAGAAGATAGAGAAGAATAAAGGGAAAAATGAAAGAGGGTAGAATAAAGAAAAAAGAAAAAGAGTAGAATAAAAAACAGAAAGTGTGGAAAGAGCAGAATGAAGAGTAAAGAGAGTAGAAAGGGTGGAATGGAAGAAATGAAAAGGGTGAAATGAAGAAACGAGAAGGTAGAATGGGTGTAAAAAGAGTGGAAAACATAGAAAAAGGAGAAAGAGAAAAAATGATGGAAAGAGCAGAAAGTAAAAAATGATGGAAGACCAGAAAGAAAAAAAGAACGATATAAAGAGCTGAAAGAGAAAAACGATGGAAAGAGCTGAAAGAGAAAAAATGAAGGAAAGAGCTGAAAGAGAAAAAATGAAGGAAAGAGCTGAAAGAGAAAAAATGCAGGAAAGAGCTGAAAGAGAAAAAATGATGGAAAGAGTTGAAAGAGAAAAACGATGGAAAGAGTTGAAAGAGAAAAAAATGAAGGAAAGAGAAGAAAGAGAAAAATGATGGAAAGAGTTGAAAGAGAAAAAACCAATGGAAAAAGATGAAAGAGAAAAAAATAATGGAAAAAGATGAAAGAGAAAAAAATAATGGAAAAAGATGAAAGAGAAAAAAAACAATGGAAAGAGCTGAAAGAGAAAAAATGAAGGAAAGAGAAGAAAGAGAAAAAAATGAAGGAAAGAGTTGAAAGAGAAAAAACCAATGGAAAAAGATGAAAGAGAAAAACGATGGAAAAAGATGAAAGAGAAAAACAATGGAAAAAGATGAAAGAGAAAAAAACAATGGAAAGAGCTGAAAGAGAAAAAAATGATGGAAAGAGAAGAAAGAAAAACGATGGAAAGAGTTGAAAGAGAAAAATGATGGAAAGAGTTGAAAGAGAAAAATGATGGAAAGAGTTGAAAGAGAAAAACGATGGAAAGAGTTGAAAGAGAAAAACGACGGAAAGAGCAGAAAGAGAAAAACGACGGAAAGAGCAGAAAGAGAAAAAAAGCGGAAGAGCTGGAAAAAAAGCGATGGAAAGAGCTGAAAGAAAAAAAAAAGATGCAAAATTATTATTGGAAAGAAAAAAAATGATGGAAAGTGCTGAAAGAGAAAAACGATGGAATAAGTTGAAAGAGAAAAACGACCGGAAAAGCAGAAAAAGAAAAACGATGGAAAGAGCTGAAAAAAAAAAAAGATGCAAAATTATTATTGGAAAGAGAAAAATGATGGAAAGTGCTGAAAGAGAAAAACGATGGAAAGAGTTGAAAGAGAAAAATGATGGAAAGAGCTGAAAGAGAAAAACGATGGATAGAGCAGAAAGAGAAAAACGATGGAAAGAGCTGAAAAAAAAAAAAAAGATGCAAAATTATTATTGGAAAGAGAAAAAAATGATGGAAAGTGCTGAAAGAGAAAAACGATGGAAAGAGTTGAAAGAGAAAAACGATGGAAAGAGCAGAAAGAGAAAAACGATGGAAAGAGTTGAAAGAGAAAAACGATGGAAAGAGTTGAAAGAGAAAAATGATGGAAAGAGTTGAAAGAGAAAAACGATGGAAAGAGTTGAAAGAGAAAAACGATGGAAAGAGTTGAAAGAGAAAAATGATGGAAAGAGTTGAAAGAGAAAAACGATGGAAAGAGTTGAAAGAGAAAAACGACGGAAAGAGTTGAAAGAGAAAAACGACGGAAAGAGCAGAAAGAGAAAAACGATGGAAAGAGCTGAAAGAAAAAAAAAGATGCAAAATTATTATTGGAAAGAGAAAAAAATGATGGAAAGTGCTGAAAGAGAAAAAACAATTGAAAGAACAGAAAGAGAAAAAATCAATGGAAAGAGCTGAAAGAGAGATAGAGAAAAAAACAAAATGCTGAAAAGAGAAAACAAAGAAATAAAAAGACTGAAAAATCAGAATATACCTTTTTATTAACTAAATTTGAATTCAAGATATTTATAAATTAATTTTAAATGACATCAGTAAGTGTTCCAATCAATAGTTTGGTTCTCCAGATGTAGCTCAGAATAAAGAGAAACCCTTTCAGTTCCACCATATATATATGTATAATCACATTTACCATTGACTAACCTTTGAAATGATTACTAATGGTTCTTATCTAACAATCTATTGCATTCCACATTAAAGTGTTGCTTTTCGATGTTATCTTCAATTAACGAAATATACCAATTCTGACAATTTAAAATATGACATTTGATTGACATAATAGAAAGTGCAAATAACCTTTGGAAAGGTATGAATCGATCTCATCTATCTCCAAGTATGGTTAAAAAAACAGAACAGACAGGGTCCTATAGCCTTGAATGGCAACCAGTTTAGAAGGATAACTCTGATTTCAAAACCTGAGTGGTCAAGTGATTGGTAACTAAACTGGCCTCCCAACCAAACTCTGGTCTTAGATCAAAATCTATTATATGTTTTTTAATTTTTTTTTTTTTAATTCAGTGGAAATGTATTGGTTTAAATTTAGCAATCTATTAAAAAATGACAAATTTACATCCTGAAATATCAAAATGAATAACAATGACATTAGTTTATTTTAAATAAAATGTTTTAATAAGTATAGATAAAAGAAATTAATGCATAGAGGGAATGTCCATAAAATAATATATGAGAATTAAAAATATATATAAATTAATATAAGATTTTATTTTTTTTATCTGGTATTGCAAATAATAAGATCAATTTCTGTCTGAATTTTTAAGAGGAAGAATTATTATTGTAACTTCTATTCCTGTACTTCAAGATTGGATATATTTATAAGTTTATTTCTATATTTTATAAGATTTTATATATTTTATAAGATCCATATCCATATTTTATTATATTTATATTGTCCATATTTTACATGAGCCATATTACCAGTTTTATATCTTATATTTTCCATATTTTTTGAGATCCATATTACCACAATTTTATATTTTATTTAATCATATTTTATAAGACCTATATTTCCATATTTTTATATTTTCCATATTTTATAAGCTTTTGTAAAATCCATATTTCCATATTTTTATATTTTATAATATATTTTATAATATATTATATTTTATATGATCCACACTACTAGTCAAAAGTATTTGGCCACCCTTAAAATTTTTTATTTCTCATCCTAAAAGTGTTATTTTTAATGAAACAAGCACCACAGTGATTTTAATTATTATACTAAATGCAAGTCTTCTTCAGTAACTTTGACATTAGTATAACCAGATCTCTTTTGAAAAATTGATCTGAAGGTGTTTTTCTTCTTTAGTACTGAGTATGAATAAAATGTTTTCCAAAAGTGACATTATACCACCACTTGAACTCATATTAGACTATATTGTGTTGAATTATTGTTTGCTAGATACTACCTGTTTTACCTATGCTGCCAATGTACCTTGCCCAGTAGTGACATCTGTTATTTTTATTTGGTTTAAATTAAAACCTAAATTTTGCAATTTTCTTCTGGATCGAAGCTTTTTTTTTCTCAACAAAATGCCCAAAACAACTTTACACTTGAACAAAGACAAGAGATCATTACTTTAAGAAAAGGATATTCAAGCAGGAAATTAAAAAAAAAGATTCCCAGACCTACAGTGGATTATACTATTAGGAGACACAAGGAAACGAGACAAAACAAGACCAGAAGTAAGGCTGGTAGACCAAAACAACAACAAAAAGCAGAGGATAATTTCATCAGAATCACCATTTTATGTGACAGAAGGCTGACTGCTCCAAACATCACAGCACAAGTGAACCAATGTCATGAAAAAAAATGTGTCAACATCCACTGTGAGGAGAAGACTCTGAGAAGCTGGCCTAAATGGCAGAATTGATCTCAAGAAACCATTGTTGAAGATTCAAAATAATGTCAAAAGGCTCCAGTGGACCAAGGTACACAAAGACTGGACAACAGAGAAGTGGAATAAAGTCCTTTGAACTGATGAATCAAAGTTCGAAATCTTTGGGTCAAATAGGAATGTCTATATGCTGTGAAGAGTTGGTGAAAGTTGGCAACCCCCTGTATCACATAGTCATAAAGGATGGAGGAGGCTCTGTTATAGTGTGTGTATATGTGTGTGTGGGTGGGCGGGGGGTCTTTTGCAAATTACAAAGTCAGGGATTTGCACCAGGTGAAGGGCAAATTGAATCAGCACACTGCAGTATCATGCAATCCCATCTGGAACATGGCTTGTGGGTCAAGGATTTATACTCATGCAAGATTATGACCCAAAGCATACTAGTAAACTCTGCCAGAGGTACATTAAAAACAAATAAAAACAGCATGTCCTTCAAATGATGTCTTGGCCAGCACAATCAGTAGACTTAAATCCCATTGAACTGGTGTGGGTTGAACTTGACTGAAAAGTCAGAGCTAAACAACCCACTAGTGTGGCTCAACTCTGGCAACTCTTGCAGGAAAGATAAGCAGAACAATTTTCAGTCTAACTCCAGTCTTTGGTGGAAAGAATGCTGAGAATCTGTGAAGCATTGATCGTAGTCAAAGGGGGTCATTTTGATGAATGAGAAGTTTAAGATTTTTTTTCTTTGGTTTAATTTGCATTTAATGTGGCTCAAGAAGACTTGTATTTAGTATAATAAATAAATAAAGTGCTTAAGTTGTTTCATTGAAAATTACACTTTTTCAATAAGAAATAAAAATTTTTGAGGGTGGTCAAATACTTTTGACTTATAATGTATATTTCCATATTTTATATTTTATATCTTCCGTATTTTATAAGAGCCATATTTTATTTTATATTCTCCATCTTTTATGAGATCCATATCTACAAATTTTATAAGATTTTATAATATATTATACTTAATATTTTATTTTATATATTTTCTAAGATTTTATAAGATTCCATACTTATACTTCAAGATTGGTTATTTCCATATTTTTCACTGACTGCAAAATGATCAAGTTTCAAATTTAAGTTGTTTTATTTTTATTTATTAATGTTGTTATAAAATAAAATAAGACATATCTCGGCTGATTTACAGGCAAATACTCAAGAGTGAGAACCGGATGTGAACAGGACAAAGCCCCGTCACAAAATGACCATTATCTTTCTTTACAAATGTTTCCGACACACGTGTTCCGGTCGAAAAATAAAATAATATTTAAAGTGCTCTATTTTTCGTCCAATAAAAATGCTTCCCTCCTAATTATACTCGCTTCGTTTCTCGAACCTGTTAAGCCATAAAAATCGCTATAAAAGGGGTCACATGGAAGTTCAACAGGCAGTCAACAGGTGGCCAGCGAACAGACCTGATGGTCAGGCCGAGCGATCAGCAGCAGGGGAGCGTCAACCACCGTCAACATGTGTGAACTACTATGAGAGATCGACCAGATCCGAAAGCCGGCTTATGAACTTTACCACAAAGTAGCTGTCCCAAACCCTTACGTTCCTGTTGAAATAAACCACGTAAATCTATTTCTACTGTTGTCGTATTTCTTTCTTGCAACCATACGCTTGTCTATAACAATGTTCTCTCTATACAATGTCCAGGGCCACTCAAAGCATCAAGGGTTACTGAAGGTTGCTGTTGTTGTTGTGTGAGCAGTCAGCCTAAGGAAAGCAGTTTATGCAGATATGTGGGAAATATAACAGTTAACAGCAGACTTAGAAAGCATCCCTCTGGGACTTAGAGAAAGCATCCCTCTGGGACTTAGAGAAAGCATCCTTCTGGGACTTAGAGAAAGCATCCTTCTGGGACTTAGAGAAAGCATCCCTCTGGGACTTAGAGAAAGCATCCTCTGGGACTTAGAGAAAGCATCCCTCTGGGACATTCTGGGACTTAGAGAAAGCATCCTTCTGGGACTTAGAGAAAGCATCCCTCTGGGACTTAGAGAAAGCATCCTTCTGGGACTTAGAGAAAGCATCCTTCTGGGACTTAGAGAAAGCATCCCTCTGGGACTTAGAGAAAGCATCCCTCTGGGACTTAGAGAAAGCATCCCTCTGGGGATCCCTTGGGACTTAGAGAAAGCATCCTCTGGGACTTAGAGAAAGCATCCTCTGGGACTTAGAGAAAGCATCCCTCTGGGACTTAGAGAAAGCATCCTTCTGGGACTCTGTTTCACAGAGTAATAGTTCTTAGAACAAATGTGTCTGAGTGGAACTTAGTCTTTACTAAAGAAATATGAAGGGAATGAGGGTAGTTCACTTCAATGTATTATATTTATTAGAAAATATTTTGAATAGTTTAAATACAAAAGTGACCTCAAAGGGCTGACTTATACTATTTTTCTGTTACCCATGGGTTCTTGCCTGACAAAAAGGGAAATAAGCTCTCACAAAACAGATATTCATTTCAATTTAATTCAAATTGTGTGTATGTACCTGTAAGTATATTATAATTTAATGACTGACTTTTTAAGTCTGTCCTTAAAATATACATACATACATACATACATACATACATACATACATACATACATACATAAATTTCAATTTAATTTTTTTTTAATCATTAAAAAAAGATTTTTTTTATTTACTGAATAATTTCTGAAAACTCCAATAAAATCTTATGATTATTTGAATGTTTCAAGGTTTACAAAATTAACATTTTTTTTTCTTGTCTCTGACTGATTTTATCATTCAGCCCAGGGTATGGATTGTATAGACTAAGTAGAAGAGGAATATTATATTCCAATGTCTTATTTCACATTCAGTCAAATTGTTTATATGCACATGTTCACTAAATTGCACAAACACATATAAGTCACTCACACACAACAGATATATACATATATATTACATAAGTGCATACAAATCACATGCAAACTGTGTGTGAAAATCAACTCTGCTATGTAAATTGACTCAAATGTGAATTTATAAAAGATGAAGAGCAGAGACTATAGTCACTCTAAACAAGAATATAAAAGTTGTCACCATTCAGTTTGGGTGACTAATTGGGTATTGACTACTATGATATATGACTTTACAAGAAGATTAATGCCTAAGAAAATGTGATTATACAAATATATTTCTCAGAATCAAATTAATTCTTCTGAATCAATTTGTCATCATGACGCCAAAGAATATATATATATATATATATATATATATATATATA